TATGCATTAAAAAAAACAAAAAACAAGTGAAAAGCGTGTGTATTTTTAGAATCAGAATCACATTTATGTAAATTGATTCGCTTGACTCATTTTATACTCCCGTTTTCATTTTGAATTATATATTAGAGGGAATGAAAGAAGAAGAAAAAAAAATATCAACTTTTTATTTGTCATTGGAAAATTTATTCTTCTGTTAATGAGTCACGTATGCAGAATTTCTGCTTTCAATATTATTATTATCATTATTATTATTATTATTATTCAATCAGTATTATTTACATTTATAATTATTGCTTAATTTCTAGATCGAAATTAATCAAGTTTAAACAAGTATTTGTTATTTACATTAATCACCTGTGAAATATAAATTGTTGCTTCTTTTTTTTATATATAGAAAAATTAACGAAAAAATAAAATAAACAAGATTACTATCAGTTTTGTTTAAATAATCAATTCAGTTGCAATTCTCAGGTATTTCTCCTTGACATTTTATTTATAAAATCTGTTGTAATTATTTTTATTTTGTGTATTTTTATATATGTGCATATATATATATTTCTTTTTTTTATTAATTGTGTTTTATTTCTTTGCAATTGCATATGCAAATGAAGAATAATATCTAATGAATTATTTATTAATTAAATGATAACTATTATAGTTACAATGTTGGTGTTTAAAAGAGACGATAATTTTGATAGAAGTTTATTTGGTTTTTTAAATTTATTTGTATTTTTTATTTGTTTATTATCCTTTTACTTATTTATTTCTATATTTATTTGATTATTTAGTTATTTTTTTATTTACTCTTTCATTTATTTATTTATTATTTATTTATTCTTTTATTTACTCATTTAGTTATTTTTTTATTTATTTTACAGGGTTGCCACAGGTCAGGGAATTCAGGGAAAAGTCAGGGATTTTTATTAAACGTACTAGAAAAAATTAAATTTTTAGAACTCGCATAAGAAAATTCTGAATTTTAATATCTGTTTTGTTTGTCTCATAAACTATGAAATTACCACAAATTTCAATACAAAACCTTCAAATTTTTCTATTCCTGATAATTATTTCTTTTTAAATAAGAACTATCATAAAATTATTATTTATGAATTATTTAATGAATAATTTTACTTAAATATTTCAAAATTAATTGAATTTTAAGAGAGTTGCGTTAACAATTTTCGTAAAAGGTTAACTTCAAAAGGTTTTATTATGAAATTTTAGAAAATTTCAATTTTCAATGAATTTTATTAGAAATTTTAAAGTTCTTAGATTTTTGAAAAATTTTAATAATACAAATTCTTCTGAAATTAGTTAAATTTTTTAATATACACTACCGTCCGTGAGTATCAGGATGCCCCTTTTTTCATGAGAGGAAAAATGCTTAAAACGTAGAAAATAAGAATGACAAAAATTTTTCGTATTTTTTTCCTGAAAGCTAATGAAATTATGAAAAGATTGACACCTGATCGAAGAATTTTCGTTGACTATTCTGTCAGATACAGAAAAAAGACTGGATTTTGCATGCTTTTCGTAATTTTTTAATTTCTCGAAAACTAATTAACTTTTATTAGCGCTCTTGGTCTTGTTTTAATCTTTATTTAATGTAGAATCTAAATTATTATCTGGTATTGTGACATAAATTTTTCCAAAAAACTTTGAAACCGTAAAAGTAGGATTAAAAAAATTCAAAAAATTATCATGAATATTAAAGTGTCAAAAAGGTCAATATAAAATATGTTCATTCAATAGATATACTAATATTCAAAAAAGCTTTTTAATTACTTAATTATTTAATTTAAAAAAAAAATTTTTTTTGTTGAAAAAGTGTCAATCTGTTTTTCAAAATTTTTTTATCCGAATTTCACAGTTTCAAATTTTTTTGGAAAAATTTATATCACAATACCATTAATTAATTTAGATTCTACATTGAATAGAGATTAAAACAAGACCAAGAACGCTAAAAAAAGTTAATTAGTTTTCGAGAAATTAAAAAATTACGAAAAGCATGCAAAATCCAGTCTTTTTTCTGTATCTGACAGAATAGTCAACGAAAATTCTTCGGTCAGGTGTCAATCTTTTCATAATTTCATTAGCTTTCAGGAAAAAAATACGAAAAATTATTTTCAAAAGTAATGAAATTCTTCGCAGAAATTCTATTATAAACAAAAATTCAAAAAGTTCTCGATAAAATTTCAATTATTATCTTTATAAATAAAAAAATTCTTCTTCAAAATTCAATTATTTTCAAAAATTTTCATAAAATTCTTGGCAAAATTCAATTATTTTCATAAATAACAATAGGTATTCATCATCACAAAAATTTAATTATTTTTAAAAGTAAAAAAATTCTTCCCAGAAATTCAATTATTTTCAAAATTTTGTTTAAAATTCAAGATTTCAATTATTTTTATAAATAGAAAAATTATTCCCTGAAATTAAAATATTTGCAAAAATTTCAATTATTTACAAAAATTTTATAGAATTTCTTCTAATGAGTTCAATTACTTTTCTAAATAAATACTTTGACATGAATTCAATTATTTTTAATACAATTTTATAACTGAATTCCTTGAACGAATTTAAATTCAAGAAATATAATAATTCTACGCGCAATTTCAATAATGATTAAAACTTTTTTAAAAAATTCTGGTAAAAATTACAATTACCTTCAAAAATAATAAAATTCTTCTTCAAAATTCAAGAATTTTCAAAAATTTTTATAAAATTCTTGTCAAAATTTCAATTATTTTCAAAAATTCCCCTCAATTCAGTGATTTTTAACATCTACTATTATTTTAATAAAATTTTCCAAAATTATTATTATAAATTATATTATTTTAAAAAATAGTAATAAAATTCTACCTAAACATTTAATTATATTTAATTATATTCATAAATAATAAACATTTCACAGGAATTCAATTATTTCCATAAATAATAACATTTTTTAAAGGACTTCAATCATTTTCATATATAAAAAAATTCTTTTTATGAATTCAATTATTTTCATAAATAATAAAACTCATTGCAGTATTTCTATTATTTTAAATACAATTTTAATCGAATTCCTCGAAAAAAGTAATTATTCTTAGAAATTTTATTAATATTCATTGAAAGAATTTAATTATTTAAAAATTTTTTGATAAAATTCTTCATAATAATTATAGAATTAGGAGTACTCAATGTACGAAAGGGCGTCTCCCGTCATGTTTCTTAATAAATAAAAATAAATAAATAATTAAATTTTAAGAAAAATACAATTATTCCATAAATTATTTACTTTTGTATCCAAATAATTGAATTCTTGTAAAATTTTCTAATAAAAATTGATTTTAAATTGAATTTTAGTTAAAATTTTAGATAATATTTTAATATTAAAAGCATTACAACGTAAATTTTTAAAAATAATTGAATTTTGAAAAGATTTCAAATTTAAATCTTGAAAAATCTGAATTTTTTATACTTTAAATTAACAATTCTGTAGAACTTATTTTTTTGAAAAAATTTACTTTTAATTATTTGAAAGAAGTTGATTTTCTTTTAATTATATTGAATTATTTCAACATTTTTAACGCAATTCTTCGAAGAAATTCAATTATCTTGATAAGTAACAAAATTCTTCACAGAAATGCAATTATTTTTTTGAATTTTAATCAAATTCTTTACTAAATTAAATTATTTTCATAAATAACAATAATCACTATAGTATAAGAAATTCAATTATTTTTAAAAATTTTAATAAAATTTTTCTCATGAATTCAATTATTTTCACAAACAATGAAATTTTTCACTGGAATTCAATTATTTAAAGAATTTCAATAAAATTCTTCTCAAGAATTTAACTATGTACTTCATAAATAATAAAATTCTTTTTAAGAATTCAATTATTTTGAAAATAATTTAAAATGAATTCTTCTTTAAAAATGCCTTTATTCTTGAAAATTTTACTAAAATTTATTAAAATTTGTCAAAAGAATTTAATATTAAAAAACATTCCCTAAATTATTAATTTTTGTACCTATTTAAATAATTGAATTCTCGTAGAATTTTTTTAATCAAAATTGATTTAAAAATAAATTTCAGTTTAAATTTTAGATTATAATTGAATATTGAAAGCATTATAGCGTGAATTTTTAAAAATCTGAATTTTTCATATTTTTAACTAACAATAATTGTGTAGAATTAATTTTTTTTGAAACAGTTTAATTGAGGGCCGGGAACGGATAACTGACAGATACGCATGGTTGAAAGGGACTATACCAGTCAGACAACAGTATGAGCGCCTCTAGGCCTCTCACTGATGGCTGACTGGTATGGTCCCTTTCAACCATGTGTAGCAGGCAGTTATCCGTTCCAGGCCTTCAATATTGAATTTTTTTTTTTTTTGAAATTATTTCAAGTTTTTATTTTTTAATATACAGTTGCAGAATTTACGAATACTCCATGAAATTTTATATAAAATTGAATTCTAAACAAATGGATTTAAAAATTTTCAAACAACTTTTTCAAAAAATTATTAAAAAATAATTGACTTAAAGAAAAATTTTAGTTGAAATTTTCTGAAAATCTTAATTCCTATGGAAAAATAATAATGACTAAATATTTATTTTAAAAAAAAATTATTGATTTCAAATAATTTTACTTTTGAAGAAATTCGTAATGAAATGTAATAGAACATTTTGTTGAGTATCAAATAATTTGTATCGTATGAGTGAATCTGAATATTCTTTAGGGTCAGGGAAAAAGTCAAAATGTTGTCTGGAAATCAGGGAAAAGTTAAGGAAAAACAAAATTAAATTTTTGTGACAACCTTGTTTTTTTTATTCCATTATTGATTTATATATTCACTCATTTATTTATTATTTCACGTGATAAAAATGAATCATTATGGAAATTATTACTTTATTTTTCACTATTTTTAACTGTGTTTTTTTATTATTATTATAATGGTAAGGAGGGTTTTTTATTTGTTTATTGATAAATATTTTTTTTTGCAGCTTTCGTTTTCACCCACAACACCAGGATGGAGTCACGCAAGATTGTTGGGTCTTTTGGCGTCAATATTGGCACTTTCCGGTTTTATGCTTCTTCTTTGCACAGCCGCCGCATTTTTCTTCGTCTCCTTTAACACCTTTGCTTTCATGTCAGCAGAGGTGAGTAATTTTCATTTTTTTTTATTTTTCTGCAATTACTTCTTTTACTTGTATTCTTTTCACTTCCGTTTTATATTTGACAATTTTTTTCACATTATGTTAACAACTTGTTTTATGGTTTTATTCTTTTTTTAAATTTTTTATTCGTTTATTTTTTTAATTTTTTATTCGTTTATTATTTTTTAAATTTTTTATTCGTTTATTAATTTTTTAAATAAATTACTAATAATTCATTCGATTAATTCATAATTTTTACTTTTTATTAGTTATTTATTTATTTTTCCGTTATTGCAATAAATAAATAACACAAAGTTCATGCCTTTCAGCTAGGAACGTGAATAATATTTACTTGATTAATTATAATAATTCATAATTATGTACATTATTAACGGTTAATTATTTGGTTTATTCTCAATTACTTTGTAATAAATAATAAATAATTAAAAAATAGTTATTGAATGTAAAATTTTACTCACAAAAATACGACTGTTGCATTCGGAAATAAATATTCTAGTTTTTTTTTCTTATTCAAGGCAATTAAATGATGACATTTACAAATTTCCGATTAATTTTTACAAATGAAAAAAGCAAAGAGTTTCAAGGTTCGAAAACTTGAATCACTTTACCATTAATGGACATTGAATCCTTAATATTATGAATTCTCGGCGAATGTTTTACATTCTCATCACATGAGAAAGTATTAGTTTTGGTCGAAAATTGACTTTCGCTAATTTCATGAAATCTCGACGTTTTGGGGTCCCCTGAGTCCGAAAAACATGGTCTAGAAACATGGTCCCTACGATAACTCTTGAAAAACTTATTGCATCAACTTGCAACTTTGCATGCACAAAGTTAGTGTTAAAATACAAATCGAGTTCGTTAGCCAGACATTTTCGTCGAAAACTACGCAAACTACAGTAGTTTCAAAATTTTGAAAATTCAATTTTTTCAAATTTCATTATTTTTAACTTTATATTACTTTAGATTAGAAAAATACAAACAACTTTCAAAATCTAAGTGAATTTCTTGTTTAAGCTCAAAATAACATATAATAACAATATTTGTTAATATATTTAATAAATTATGTAAGAGGCGCGTCCTGCCGGAAGGTCCTACCGAAAGTTTAGGCGCTTGGACGTTCTTTTAAAAAAATCATGCAGAAAATTTATCTAATTGTTCATTTTTAAATCTTCAGTAAATTTAAAGTTTTTCTTATAACAATTAAACTATCACATTCACTGTATCCGGATTTACATGTTTTTAATAATACATATTTAATATATATTTACAAATCACGTATCTAGGGGGAACGGGACATAATGGCTAAGCCCAGGCAGAAAAGTTGGAGGTGTGCCAGCACTAACGACCGGCATATTACCGAACCGGTTGTAAAGTCGGACTTATGCCGGTACCGGCAAAAAGGTACCGGGCCAGATATGAAATAAATACTGGCCCAGTACCGGCCCGGTGGTAAATGTGGATTTGTACCGGTACTGGTAGTGTGTACCGGGCCGGTTGATTAAAAATATCTGGCCCAGCACCGGCCCGGTACTATAATTTACTTCTGTTTATATACCGCCGAAGAAGATTTGCCGGTGATAATTTTTTTACCGGCCCAGCACCGGCCCGGTACTGTTATTTGGCTCTGTTTTATACCGCCGAAGGAGATTTGCCAGTTATAATATTTTTACTTGCCCAGCACCGGCGTAGCACCGGCCCGGTACTGTCATTTCGCTCTGTCTTATACCGCCGAAGGAGATTTGCCGGTGATAATATTTTTACCGGCCCAGCACCGGCCCGATACTATAATTTAGTTCTGTTTTTATACCGCCAAAGAAGATTAGTTATGCCGGCAATTATATTAATACCGAGTAGGTTGCTTATTGGTGCCGGCCCGGTATTTAGCCGGTGAATAGGGCGGTTAATATTATTTATAATTACTATTTTCATTTATTTATTTTTAATAATTTAAATTGAATTAAAATAAATTAGAAATACAAATACTGGCCCGGTACCGCACCGGTTGAATATTAGTGCCGGCCCGGTACTGCTGCCGGGCGGAATGTCGGTTGGACTTTATAAGCTCACTTTGCATTTGCTTTCCATATGCAGGTTTAGGTTAGCGGATGTGGTGTCGACTTTGCAGCCTCAGGGTCCGGAGTTCAATTCCTCGAGTCTTCAGATTTTTCTATAATTGTTTATGTTTCTCTGTTTCAGCATTTAATATATTTACTGTTTCCAATTTAAAATTAATAATAACATTGATAATAATAATAATAATTAAACAATTAATCAGACTGACATGTAATTTTTTTAACCGGCCCGGTACCACACCGGTTGTTTTTTAGTGCCGGCCCGGTACTGCGTCAGATATTTATTAGTGCCGGCCCGGTACGGTTGCCGGATACCTACCGAAGTTATCATCCGGCAATTTACCGGTACTGCGCCGGTGGAATGAACACACTTATGCCGGTACTGGACCAGTACCTAGCCGGTTGTGCAGCCGGTAATAAACCGGCACCAAATGCCTTCCAACAATAACCGGGCCAGTACCGCCCCGGTGGACAATTCGGTACCAGCCCGGTACGTATGCCGGATACCTGCCGCAGTAATCATCCGGCAATTTGCCGGTACCGAGACGGTAAAAATTACGGTCTTATGCCGGTACCGCCCCGGCACTTATAATCCGCCGTTTGTACCGGGCCGGTACCATCCCGGTCGTCAATTTCTACCTAGGGGGGCGTAATGAATAATTGTAATTTATTTAAAAATCGTAAATCGAAATGATTTCGCTCCAAAGACAACTTGATGTACTGCAAGTTTCTACAAAGTTTGATTATTTATTATTCAATCACTATTGTAAGAAATATACACTGAAAGAATTTTAGGCAGGCTGCTGGCTTTTCATGTCCGAAATTAGTGCCCCTTGCACAGGGCTCGCAGCTCACCTCAAAAAAGCGAGCATCTACTCCCGAAAGGTGAGCAGCTGCCCCTGAGGAGCTGCTGCTTACCTTTCGGGAGTAGATTCTCGCCTTTTTGAGGTTAACTGCGAGCTTGAGGCAGCGAGCTCTATCTACTCATGTAAAGCCTGCAGCCTGCCCAAAATTCTTTCAGTGTAGTAGAAAAACTGTATTTCACATATGAAAGTAACTTTTCAAAATTTTCATTTTTTCGTTCTAATTTTTTTAAAATAACTTTAAAAAAGAAACTAATATCGCGTTTTAAGCTTGAAACATTTTTTAAGGGTCAATTTGAGATTTTTGATTCACACTTACTGTATTGATAAAAATTACAAAATATTTCCCAAGTACCCCTAGGGCGTGTTGGCTAATGCAGCAGGCTATGTATAAAGAGCAACCTACGATACCGACGAAGTGTACGTTCATTGTAGAAAAAAAGTAAGCGTAATATAGGGACGTTCGTCTTTTTAAAAGAAAGCTGAGATACTAGAGTAACTTTTCTAGGAGATAAACACTTAATTAAAACAAAAATGTCCGAGTAAATCAACAAAGAGTGAAAAGTTAGCCATTACACTCTGGTCTACACTACACAAAAAACTTGGTAGTAATACTTTAAGAATATTTTATCTGCTTCTGCAAATCATGTTTCTGCTAAGAGAGTTAGTATAATTAAAAATAACTTCACAATTTAAATCATCAAGACCAAAAATATACATTTAAATCCACTTTATCTCGCAATCATCAGCAAACAAAAACATGTGATGAGAATGTAATCCTTAAAGTCGTAGTAACTTTAAGAAAAAAAAATGTTTTATGAAACATATAATAGGAAACAAGAACAAGAACACAAATAATGCACAACAATTGCAGACCGCCGCTAGCCATTTGCGCGCGAAGCGCGCAACAACACACGGAGCGCGAAGCGCGGATGAGAATGTGTCCGCACTTGCGCGGACAGATTTTTTTTTATTATTATATCCTATCAAGGATTCTTCATTTTTGTTTCTTTCTTTTCGTCTTTGACATTATTATTTACGCTTTTTTTACCAAAATTTTTAAAAATTCAATCAAAAACATATTTCAAACCAAAATTTAGGAAAATTTAAATCGAAAAAAAAATTATAAACTTATGTCTATAATTTTAAACAGAAAATTTTTTAAAAATTTTTAAAAGAAAATATTTCAAACCAAAATTTAGGGAAATTCAATCAAAAAAAATTGTAAACTTATGTTTATAATTTTGTTTTTTATTGAATTTCCCTAAATTAATTTTGGTTTGAAATATTTTCTTTTTGCTTCCTCGTGGAGGAAGCTTTGTAGTCATTTAATTTTCAAAATTTTTAAAAATCTTTTTAACAAATTTTCTTCTATTATAGGACTATATAGTCCTATAATAGAAGAAAATTTGTTTATATTATATTTATAGAATTAATTACAATTAAAGTTGAAAAATTCACTTTTTTACTAAAAATTTTTTTGTTTATTTAGATTCATATTACTGTATAAGAGAATTTTATTCTTTCTATTAAGACGAATGAACTTTATTTTATAAATGTTAAATTGTATTAAAAATGATTTAAAAATTAAATATACTTGTCGTTAATGCTTCCTCCACGAGGAAGCAAATTTTTTTTTGCTGATCGTAAAGAGGAAGCAAAATGTTCATGTAATGAACATCTGGATTTACAACTTGTTTCATTAAGTTTGAGCTTTTTTGGGTTTTGAAAATTAATTGGAAAATTTATTTATATTATTAACTATATCAATTTGACGCAACATTGGTTATATAATATATAGAAAATATTTTTTATTTGGCATTCATTTGTTTAATCAATCCTTTGACTGTTAATAATACAGTTTTTTGTTCGTTTCTTTTTTTGCGTCTCTGCGGTTTTTCTTGAAAAACTAAATAACAGATGATAACAGACCTTGACTAGAAATAAAAAGCCCGGGACATTCACCTATAACCAGTTCATCATTTTATTACGTCAATCATCTCTTGATATATTCATCTCTTTTCTACCTACATTTGCCCTTGAAAATAAAACTAGAATATTACAGAGAAAAAAAATACTTCATCTCGCGAAAGAAAATCATTTGACAAATAGTATATTTCATCATCATCTTCGTTGTTCTTTTAATTGTGGAAATATTTACTGAATTTTACAATCTTCTAATTTTATTATTTTCAATTATTTATTTACTATTTAGTTTATTTATTATTTGTACGTAAATTTATTTATTTATTTATTAAAATATATTTTAATTTAATTTGCTTTTTTGTATTTAATTCTGCAGAGTCGCCACGAGTTCGGAAATTTAGGGAAAATAAAATTGGTCAGGGAAATCAGGAAAATTTTGGGGAATTTTATCGAAAATACGGGCTAAAATTATTACAAAACTTATGGTTTTTGATGTAAACGTTTTTGAAAAATTTAAGAACGTTGCGAATTATCGTCGATTTTTTTTCAACTAAAAAAACTTTTGAATCGCGAATTTTAAAACAATACATTTGTTTTTTATTATTTCGGTAAACAATTAAATCTATTTTTAATAATTAAATTCATCAATAACTTTCCTAAAGTTACAGGAAATTTTAGTAAGTTGAGAATTTATTTATTTATTTTAGTAAATTTTAATTAAAAACAGTTGCAAATTGCAAAAATAATTTAAAATTCAGAAGGTTTTATAGTAAATTTTTTGAAAATTTTAATTAAAGTTATTAATCCAAAAATTTTAGTTAAAAACAGTGGCAATTTTAAAAAATAATTTAATTTCAGAAGGTTTTATACAAAAAATTTTCGAAAATGTCAATTACTGCGTCAAAACATTAATTAATAATTCGTAAATAATTAAATTTTTGAGAGTCCCAATTGTAGCTAAAACAATTTAATTAATAATTTAAATATAAAATTATGTACACAAAAATTAATAATAATTAATTATTTAATAATTTAATTTTAGTATCGATTTAAATTTTAAATTAGAAAAAAATTTTAATTTCCAAAAAAATTTTTATATCCTAACAATTTTGTTTTTAAAATATTTCAGATCTATTTTTTTTAAAGATAATTTAATTTTTATTGGGGAGCGTTCACAAATGATGTCACGTTTTTGGGGAGTGGGGGGGGTCTAAAATCCCGAAAAATTGCGTGACATCATTTATAAACGCCCCCTTGTCTATTAATGAAAATTTTTGAAATAATTGATATTTTCTAAAATTCTATTACAAATTTTTTAAATAATTGAAATTTTCTAAAATTCGACTAAAAATTTTGGAATTGAAATTTTCTAAAATTGTACTAAAAATTTATGGAATAATTGAAATTTTCTAAAATTTTACTAAAAAATTTTAAAATGGAAATTTTTTTAAATTCTTCTAAAATTTTTTGAAATAATTGCCATTTTCTAAAATTTTATTAAAATTTTTTGGAATAATTGAAATTTTTTAAAAATCTATTCAAAAATTTTGAAATGATTGAAATTTTCTAAAATTCTATTTAAAAATTTTTGAATAATTGAGGCCTTGGATTCAATAATTCGCCCGACACTCGGAGGAACGCGCAACTGCCAGTCAGTGAGCAGTGAGCGCCTCTGGGCCACTTACTGCTACCCGACTGGCATTAGCGCGTGCCTTCGAGCGTCGGGCAAGTTATTGGATCCAAGGCCTCAATTGAAATTTTCTAAAATTCTGTTCTAAAATTTTTAGAGTAATTGAAATTTTCTAAAATTCTACTAAAAATTTTTCAAATAATTGTCATTTTCTAAAATTCTATTAAAAATTTTTAGAGTAATTGAAATTTTCTTATTAATAATACCTAATAAATAATTATCGAAATAATAATAAAAATTTGTTGAATAATTGAAATTTTAATTAAATTTAGACAGAATTTTTTTTTAATAATAATAATACTTATTAATAAAAAGTAGTGAGAAAAAAACCCAAAAAATACTATTTTTTTATTATAAATAATTATAATAACGACGGTTTTTGCGAATAACTGAAAATATTGAATAACGAGTTCAATTTAATAAAATGTCATGAAAATTTTGTTTTCTATCATTTAATTTGACATTATGTGATTTTAATAACTCAATTTATGCGCCAATAATAATGAATCTGTATTAAAGGCGTGTTTTCAATTTAAAACATTAAATTAAATTTATAGCTTTTAAATTGATTACACAGCGCACTGCTTTAGATTTGTTCTTGTTGTTTTTTTCTTGTTTCTTTTTTTTCACAATTATGAAACTATAGACTCAATATTTTCTAAATAATATACTCTACATATTGTAAATAGAGTTTGCTTAATTTCTAATTGAAAAGGTCTCGCTCATAACACTTTATCGATTAATTTACACAAGAGTAGTAGTTAAAATGTTCTTTATGTATGCATATAAGAAAACTTGTTTTTCATTTAGACGACTTTTTTTCTTCTTTTTTTCACTCGTTATTTATTTATATTCAAACACATTTTCACGTTTGTATAATATAAATGAAATTAATAGTTAATAACTAGTCACCGCGGTGGATATTTTATTTTATAACATTGATTGGAATATTGTTAGTAATTTATTTTTAGATAAAAGTTATTTTATTGTATTTATATTATATTTGCCATAAAAAATGTCAGGGGATTTTTTTTTAATTATTTATTACTATGTCTTTTATTTTTTTATATTTTTATTATTTTTATTTAAATAATTTTATTTTATCCTAATTTTAAAATATTTTATTATTTTTTTACTTTTAGTTTTATTTCAACTATATTTTTATATTTTTATTTAAATGATTTATATCCTTCCGTGTACTGTTAATTAATAATATATATTCAATTCAAGGAAGAAAGAATTAAATGAAACAATATTTACGTTTTAATAATTACGTTTTTGTATTTTTAGTTTTATTTTATTTACATTTTCGCATTTTTACTTTTAGTTTTTTTTTAACTACGGTTTTTGATTTTTAGTTTCATTTTAATTACTTTTTTGTATTTTTAGTTTCATTTTAATGATATTTTTGTATTTTTAGTTCGATTTTAATTACATTTTGTATTTGGTTTTATTTGAATTATGTAGTTTTCAATTTTTAGTTTTATTTCAATTATATTTTTCTATTTTTATTTTAACTTTATTTTTCTATTTTCAGTATTACTTTGATTACGTTTTTGTATTTTTAGTTTTATTTTATTTACATTTTTGTATCTTTCCTTTTTATTTTTTTTTAATTACATTTTTGTATTTTAGTTAGATTTTTATTTATTTATTTACTCAACATTTATACGAAAATTGAAATGAATAAATTCCGTTTGTTCAATTGCTAAAATTAATGGTTAAATAATATAGTTAATAAATGTCTATTAAGGGGATTTGAACCTTGATGACGTCACAGTTTGTGCAAAGCATTAGTTTTAAATCTGTGACGTCATCATGGTTCAAATGCCCTTAAGGAAAAGGGAAATACTACTTTGAGGGAAAGAAAGAGGGGAAGAAAGAAAGAAAGAAAGAAATATTTTCATTTTGAAATTTGTTTTTAATTTTCTATTTTTGATTTGAATTTTTCTTTTTTTCAGTGTGTACTTCTTGGCGTAAGAACAATTCATGTCATGTTACGTTACGCTATTCATCTCTATGACACAAGAGGTGCTGGCACTTCCTCTCCACGTTCCTGGGACAAGAGAGGACCCTTAGCTTATTATACGGAACTTGCATCAGAATTAACAGTTCTTGCAGTTGAATTTCTCCATCATATTCATATGCTTTTGTGGAGCAATATTTTCCTTAGTATGGCGTCTCTTGTTATTTGCATGCAGCTGCGATATTTATTCTATGAAATTCAACGGCGCATCACTAAGCATCGAAATTATCTCGCCGTTCTCAGTCACATGGAGCAAAAGTTAGTTTTTCCATTCAATGCAATTTTTCTTCGAATATTATTTTTTTCTTTTTCTTCTTCTTATTTCTTCTTATTTTTATCATTCGCAATTTCGAGAATTTTTTCTTTTTTTTTCTTTTTTACTATTTCGAGAATATTTTTAGTTTTTCTCTTTCTACTTTTAGAATTTTTTTTATTTATTTAGCTTTTCTTGCATTTTCGTTTTTTTTTACTATTTAGAGAATTTTTTTCTATTTTTTACTTATTTCGTGAATTCTCTTTATTATTTCGAAAATTTTGTTTGTTTTTTTTCTACTACTAGAATTTTTTTATTTCTTAGTTTTTCTTGCATCTTATGTTTTTTTTTTCTTTGCCTATTTGAGAATTTTCTTTTATTTCTTTTCTTTTTACTACTTCAAGAAATTTTCTCAGATTTTCTTTTTACTATTTCGAGAATTTTTTTGGTTTTTCTTTTTTTACTTCGAGAATTTCTGATTTTTTAGTTTTCTTGAATTTTCTGTTTTTTTTTTGCTGCTTCGAGAATTATTCTTTTTTTTCTTTTTACTATTTCGAGAAATTTTCTAAGATTTTCTTTTTAGGTACTACCTATTTAAAAAATTTTTTTAAGTCTTTTTTTTAATATTTGGAAATTTTTTGTTGTTTTTTTTACTTTGCGAATTGTTTTTATTTTTTAGTTTTTCTTGAATTTTTTTTTGTTTTTCTTGCTGCTTCGAAAATTTTCTTTTTACTATTTCGATAATTTTTCTTTATACTATATTTTCTTTTTACTATTTTGAGAAGTTTTTTTCCAAATATTTTAGTTTTTATTTTATTTTCTTCATTATTAAACTTTTCGGACGTTAGAAATTTCTTTTGTTTTTATTTTCATTGCATTTATTTTCTGTTTTGCTTTTTTTTCAATTTTTTTTATCCCTTTTTTTAATGAAAAAATTTACAATTCTTGTTCTTTTTTCGCAGTTATTCAATTTTTTTTTAAATTACAAAAAGAAAAATGAATCAGTAAAATTGCAAATAACTTTTTTTATTTTCTACTTAGTAAATTTGTTTCTAATTAATTCATTTTTAACTTTTTTTTATTTTCTATTTAGTAAATTTGTTTTTAATTTTGTATTCACTTATTTACGAAATTTATTTATTTTTTGGTTTTTCTTTTTTTTCTTGAATTTTATGTTTCTTTTTTGCTGCTTTGGGAATTTTCTTTTATTTCCTTTCTTTTTACTACTTGGAGGAATTTTCTTTTTTCTTAAACTAAAACGAATTTGTTTTTTGTGACAATTAATGAATTATTTTCCGCAGTTATCCAATGGCAACGCAGGAGGAGCTCGCCGACAATTCGGACAATTGCGCCGTTTGCTGGGAGAAAATGGAGACGGCAAGAAAATTGCCGTGCGGTCATTTGTTCCATAATTCGTGTCTTCAATCGTGGTTGGAGCAGGACACATCGTGTCCAACGTGTCGTCTTGCATTGAGTATGCAGGCAAATCATCGTGAGAATAATCCCGAAATACCACCAGAATCGCAAACACCAGCGCGACGCAATGACAATCATTTCTTTCATTTCGATGGTTCGCGTTACGTTTCCTGGCTGCCGAGCTTCTCCGTCGAAGTCACGCACAATCGTTTGCGTGGCGATTTTCTCACAATGGCGCACAGTAATTCGCAATTGGACGCAATGGCACGACAGGTATACACAACAAAATTGTTTATTTTTAAATTACTTATTTAAAGCAACTTCATTGACAAAAGGGAATTTTTAATAATGAAAATTGAAGCTATTAAAAATTATTTAAGATTTCTACTTCATTTTTGAAAGAATTGCTGAATGGATTCGATTTATTATTTAATAATTTTAGGAGCACTTGTCTTTAAAAAATAACAAAATTTAATTGATTAAAATTTAATAACGAAATTTCATTCTTTGAATTTAATAAGATTTAATAATAAAATTCAATTTTTTGAATTTAATTGCAAGCAAATTAAAAAACAAAATTCAATTTGAAAGAATTTAATAATAAAATTCAATTTCTTAAATCTAATAACAAAATTCAATTTCTTAAATTTAATAACAAAATACAATTCTTTGAATTTATAAACAAAATTTTATTTGAAAAAATTTACAATCATAATTCAATTTTTTGAATTTAATAACAAAAATCAATTTTTTTAAATTTAATAATGAAATTTAATTCTTCGAATTTAATCAAATTTAATAATAAAATTCAATTTGTTGAATTTAATTGCAAAGAAACTTAAGAACAGAATTCAATTAGAAAAAATTTAATAATAAAATTTAATTCTTTGAATAACAAAATTCAAATCTTAAAATTTCGTTACATTGCATTGCCCGTGTATATTAAAGTAAATAAATAAATAAAAAATTCAATTTTTAAGTTTTTAGAACAAAATTCAATTTTTGGATTTAATAATAAAATTTAATTTCAAAATTCATTTTTTTTTAATTTAAGAACAAAAATTAATTTAAATCAATTAAATTTTAAAATACCTATTCTTTAACAAAATCTAATTCTTTGAATTTAAAAACAAAGTTTAGTTAAAAAATATTTAAAAACAAAATTATATTCTTTGTATTTTTATAACAAAATGCAATTTTTGGATTTAATAATAAAATTTAATTTAAAGAATAATTGATACCCACATTTTTTTTTTAATTTAGGAACAAAAATTATTTTAAAAAGTTGAAATTAATTAAATTAAAAATTATTTTTTAATAAAATTAAATTCTTTGAATTTAATAACAAAATTTTATTTTAAAAAAATTTTAAAATAATTCAATTTGAAAAAATTCATTGAAATTATTCAATTCTTTAAAAATAACAAAATTCAATTCTTTTAATTAAATAAAATTTAATTTTGAAAAATTTTAATAACAAAATCCAATTCTTTGAATTTAATAACAAAATTTAATTTGAAAAAATTTTAAAAACAATTTAATTTGAAAAAATTCATTAATATTATTTAATTCTTTAAATAAATTTATTTTGAAAAAGTTTAATAACAAAATTTAATTTTGTAACTATAAAAACCAAATTTAATTTTTTGAACTTTATAATAAAAATTAATTTTAAAAAATTTAAATATAATTCAAATTGAAAATATTTTTTAACAAACTTTAATAAAAAAATTCAGTTCTTTTAATATAAAGAACAAAAATTAATAACAAAAAATTGTTTTTGTTTTTAATGTAGAAATAAAAAATTCTTTGTTTCAATTTTGGATTTTAAGTTTATTAATTTTTCTTGTTTATTTTTTCTTCAGGTACAACAATTGTTTCCGCATTATCCGCGGAATGTTGTGATTGAGGATTTAAGAGTGACGAGATCGGTGGAATTGTCGATTGAAAATATTCTCGACGGTAGACTAACATTGCCACATCATGTCATTGATGAACCGGAAACTGAAACACAAACGCAATCGATGGCTCATATTTTGCCCAGTAAAGAAACGCAAAATTCCTGGAATCCTCATCTTGATATTTCCAATGTCGAGAGGTAAAAAATTGACATAAAAAATTTGTATATTTGTAAAAAGAAACAGTTTTTTGGAATTTTGGATCAAAATAATAATAAATGTAAAACAAAATAAAAAAAAGAATAGAATTAATTATTAGTTAATAATGAAATAAATAATAGTTAATAATATTAAATGGATAAAGTAAAAATTGAGAGAAAGTTATTCTTTTAAGAATTGTACAATTTTTTAAAATTGAATTTGAAATTTTCCAGTAGTGAGGAGCCGATAAATTTGGGCGGTCGCTTCTCAAAGTCGCCGGTGGAAAGGGAGAGAATTTTAAAGCGTCGAAAAGAACATCTTCTATTGTCAGCTCGACGGAAATATTTCGAGAAGCTTTGCAATAAAATTGAGACAGATCTCGTAGATATAGAATCACCGTCATCATCATCATCGTCATCATTAAAATCACAATCATCTTCATCGTCATCTTCATTATCATGTCCAATAGCATCGTCCTCTAGAAATACACACGAAATCACGTCCTAGATGATTTAGAAAAATCAGTCCAAGAAGAAAGAAAAAAAATTTAAATAATTCACTTTTTCTCAACTCAGGACTCGCATCTCAGGAGAGATTGTAAGAGAAACTTCTTCGTCTCCATTTTAAATGAATGAATCGTATTTTAATCAAGCGATTCCGCAACCCTCCAGATAGAGAAAAGAAGGTTAAGTAAGAGAGGAAAAAAGGGAAAATGGAAATAAAATAGAATTTTCATTGAACAATTTTATTGAGAAAAGAGAGAGAGAGGAAAGAAAAGGAGAGAAAAATTTGTATTCGGAAAAAAGAGAAGGAGAAAAAAAGGAGAGAGAGAGGGAGAAATATATAGAAGATGAAAAAATGATGACTGAAAGAAGAGCGAAGAAGAAAGATAGTAAAGAAGAAACAAAACTTAGAAGAAAGAAAAAGAAAAATACGTACACGGAAAAAAGAATAGCACAAGAGATGTGCCAAACAGTAGGACAAGTCGTGTGCGTTAATTCAGCTCGTCTGGTGTGCTCTTTGGAACAGCAGACATACGTAGTTTGGCGCAGACGCTGTGCTTTACAGCTTTTACATTTTATAAGCACAGCGTCTGCACCAAACTAAGTATGTCTGCTGTTCCAAAGAGGCACACCAGACGCGCTGAATTAACGCACACGACTTGTCCTACTGTTTGGCGCATCTCTTGTGCTATTCTTTTTTCCGTGTAGAATCGAAAAAGTGTAGAAAACAAGACTTGTATTGTTAATATAAAAAATAAAAAAGGCGAAAAGTAGAAAGATGAAAGAGAAAAACGAAATAGAAAGATAGAAAATAGAAAGAAATGATAAAAAAATAATTGAAAACAGTAAAAAAAAGAACGTAAGTTATAGAATTAAAAATATAACTACGTAGCAAAGAAAAATTTGTTTTCAAATAAAAAAAACAAAAACACGAAAAGAAAAAACTGATAAATAAAAAGAAGAGTTTACAAACAGAAGAGAAGGGAGAGTACAAAAAACCCAAAAGAAGCGTTTACAGAATAAAAAAAATACCAAAAGCGAAGACTGTGACAAAAGAAATGACAGAAAAGAATTATTTTCGAGAAAAGAAAGACGAATTGAGAGAGAAAAGGGAGAAGAAAAGACGAGAAAAAAGAGCCGCAAAATGTGGTAAGAGACAAAAACAAAATTAATAGTTACGATATAAAGAAAATGAGAGTAAATAAATAATTTTTTTTTAATATCTCACAACGAAAAGCAAAAAAAAAATCGAATAATGAATTTATTCTTAAAATTTTTTATTAAATAATTAAATTAAATTTTTATTAAAATTTTCAGAATTACTATCAAAATAAATAAATTATTATTACATAAAAAATTGTAATATTTATTTATTATAATCGTAATAATAAAATTATTATATTCTTATATTATTTTAATTCTCTTCTTGCGATTCTGATAGAAAATCTTTTGTAATAATAAAAAAGAAATCAAGTCCATTTTAAAGTAATTAAATTTTCTGGAAAAATCAATTTTTTGTCGAAATTTCAAAGAAAAATTACAATCAATTTTAAAAAAAATAGAAAATTAATTTTTTTTAAATTGGAGTTAATTTTAGAAAAATGGAGAATTTTTAAAAAAATTGGAATTATAATTTTAGAAAAATAAAAAATTTTTAAAAATTGGAATTAATTTCAGAAAAATAAAGAATTTTCAAAAAATTAAAATCAATTTTAGAAAAATGAAAAATTTTCAAAAAATTGAAATTAATTTTAGAAAAGTTAACAATTTTGAAAAAATTAAACAAATTTCCGAAAAATTAAAAGCGTATTTTAGAAAAAAAATCTTGAAAGCTACAAATTATTCGATTAATTATTAAAATAAATTATATATTAGAATTGGATTTCCATTTATAAATATAAAATTTATTATTATAGATATATTTAGAATTATAATAATAAATTATAAAACAAAATGATCAGTTTTCTCAACAAAAAAAGAAAAAAATGCGAATAAACTACTATTTACTTTTTATTAACTTTCTAGAGAAAGTAAAAATGATAATTCTATAATTTAAAAAGAAGAATAGAATATAATTGTATATATAAATTATTTAATAATACTTACTTTTTGTTTAAACCGTTTTTTTAAAAATTATTTTGGCCTTTTTATTACAAAATAATTATTTACAAATATAATATATAATTTTTTTTAATACATATGTTTAATTCCGATTGGATTTATTAATTATTAGTATGATTAATTAAATAATAAATAAATAAAAGCCGAAATGCAAAAAAAAATCTGCTATTAAACAAACAATAAGTAAATAAATCCGAAAGGCAAAAAATGTGAAATTAAACAATGAATAAATAAATAAAAGGCAAACAGCAAAAAAGAAACTGAAAATAAACAATGAATAAATAAATAAAAGGCAAAAAGCAAAAAAGAAACTGAAATTATATAAATGAATAAATAAACAAAAAGCGAAAAGCAAAAAAGAAACTTGAACTAAGTAACGAATAAATAAAATATATGCCAAAAAGTAAAAAAGAAAAAAATTGAAATTAAAAAAATGAAAAGCGAAAAGCAAACAAGAAACTATTAATAAATATAAAGAAAATGCGAAAAACAAAAAAATAACTCAAGAGCAGACAAAGATGAATATAAAAGAAGACTAAAAGAAAATAAGGATAAAATAGGAAAGAAAATAGTCTTTAGAGAGAATTGTGTGTAAGAGAGAAAAAGGGCGAAGGAGGGAAAAAATTTATATAGAAAACCGATGAGAAAAGTGTTTAATGGAAATAGAGATGAAAAAAGAGGGAAATTAGAAAGTCTTTGAATTTGAAGCACTTTTTAATATTAACTAATATAGAAAAGAATTATTTTTTTAATAGTATTTAAATATTTTCTTTTCTATAAAAAAAAAGAAACAAAACCTCTTTTAATCAATGGAGGTGTGCGGATTTTGAAAAAGTGAACGCGAAACGTTTTTTTTTACGATTATACAATATATTCAGGCTGAGTACTTGAAACAGTGAAAAATAGAATAGAAAAAAATATTTAATTATAGGTATTTTTTCAAGTAATTTTATTATTTGTATTATTATTATTACTATTATTATTATCAACTTCATTATTAATTACCCCTAAGTGATAAATTCATATTTTTACTATTATTTATTATAATTATAATAATTATAATAATAATAATTGTTATTATTATCATTATTTTTATTATTATCATTGTTTTTTACTATTTTTATCCTAATTAATTAATATTATTATTATTATTAGTAATAAGTAATGGTAATAATAATACTCCTCGTACCTACTATTTTTTTTCATTTCTCCGTTAGAACAAAATAATTATAATCATAAAAAAATAACCTGTCGCTCTTTTCGCAGACTTTTTGAATTAATTTTCCTCGTCTTTTTTGTTTCCTATATAATAAGTATAATTAAAGGAAAAAATAATAGCTCTGATAATATTGATTTTCACATTTTTTCTAAGGATAATAAATTGAGACAAAGAAACGAATCAGAACGTTGCAACGTTTTGTCTCAATTTGATATCCTTAGAAAAATTGTAAATTCTTGAATTTTTCTCGCTTTTGCTTTAATATTTTTTTGTGATAATAATTGACTTTTTTTGTATATATATATATAAAAAAACAATTTATATGTATAAAAAAAGACACAGACTTAGCATACATTCGTATAATGTAAATTTGTACGTATGATATTCATACGATTTTGAAAGAAAGAGGGTGAGAGATTGAGAGTTTGAGAGAATAGAAAAAGAAAAGAAATCTATTCGATAATATTATTTAAGAACATATTTAAGGAAAGAGAGAAATTTAAACAAAATTCAAATCAACTTTCCCGACAAGAAGGCGCAATTTTTATCGCTTTTTGTCATGATACTTTTATTATCATAATATATATACATAGTATTAATAGAATTATTTATTTTTTAGTAATATAATAATCTAAGTCTAATAATAATGGAGTTGTGAAGGTAGCAACTATCCACGTATTGGCGATTTGCCAAAGTAAATAAAAAAGTAATTATATTAAATTAAGAAAAAAAGGTCCCAAAAAGAAAAAATTTGTGAGAAAAAATAGAGAAGAAAGGAAGCGAGAATGAAAATTAGAAAATGTTTTTGTAGTTTTTTTTCTGTATTTTTTTAACTATTTTTGTAAATTTTTCTCATCGAGAAAAATTGTTTCCTTTTTTCCTCTCGATTTATTTTCAATAACTAGTTCTGATAAAATCTCAGAAATTAGTGATTAAGAAAAATTATTTTTATAAATGATATTTAATTAGTTATTTTTTGTTAAAAGTAAAATTATTCGTTTCCTTTTTGTATCGAAACCGAGATTTGTAGATTTCGTTTATTTGATTCTTTTTTTCTTTTTTCCTTTTGTTTTCATGCGAGAAAAATTTACAAATAAAAAATAAAAATTCTACAAAAATGTGACAGCGAAAAATGTTCGATTGGAGAAATTTTTGTCCCCAATTTCCTCGACATATTCTGTATTTTAAATATTTTTTTATCGAGGAAATACATGTGCACCATTTATTAATATCAAATTACCCACCACAAGATCCTTGTAAATACACAGAAAGAAAAAAAATCTCACGCAGTTCTGAAGTCCTATTAAAAAACGTACATTTCTGCCAATAATCTGTCCTTTCATTAGGATTGTAATGAGAAGTGTATATCATAAATAAAACATGCTATAGATTGTTGTAGATATTTTGTCTGTTTCGTTCTTATTATCACCAGTAAACCCTTAGAAAAAAGAATCCTTAAAAATAAAAAATATTTAATAAAAAATTATTTAACTCTCTGCTGATGCTAACGACCGTTATCGTCAAAAATCGTCATTCTGGACGTCTGGTGGGGACTATGGGAGTTACGTGCTTTGGCGATAGAGTGGGGATAAGTTAGCATCAGCAGAGGGTTAATACCGGACGTTAATTTTTCAGGGTTGCCATAAAAATTTAATTTTGTTTTCCCTGATTTCCAGACAAAATTTTGACTTTAACCCTAGAGAATATTCTGATAGTTATCTAAAAATTATTAGATACTCAAAAAAAAATTTTCTAGGTACTACATTTATTTACGAAATTCTTTAATTGTAAAATTATTCGAAAACATCAATAACTTTTTTGTTAAATAAATATTTAATCATTATTTTCCATATGAATTAAAATTTTCAAAATATTCATTTCAAATTCAAAACTTTTTGAAATTCAGCAACTTATAATAATTACAGATTACCGAGTGATAAAATCATTATTTTATATTATAAAAATATTGTTACTTGCTACTTCTTCAAAATTATTTTCATCATTTCAATTGAATTAGGTATTATTTTCTACAATTTTTAACTAAAATTCTTCTTTAAATCAATTATTTCTAATAATTTTTGAAAAAGTTCTTTGAGAATTTTCAAATCCATTTGTTTACAATTTAATTTTATGTGAAATTTCATGGATTATTCGTAAATTCTTCAATTGTATATTAGAAAATAAAAACTTGAAATAATTTTTAAAAAATATTCAATTAAACTTTTTCTAAAAAATGAATTCAACAAAATTGTTAGTTAAAAGTATGAAAAATGCAGATTTCCACGGATTTTAATTTGAAACCTTTTCAAAATTCAATATTATTTCTAAAAATGCACACTTTAATGCTTTTTTTATTTAATTATCTCACATTTTAACTGAAATACATTTTTGAATAACTTTGGATTAGAAAATTCTACGAGAATTAAATTATTGAAGT